GAGTAATATGTAAATGGCTAGGCAAGAGAGTGAGGATTAAGAAGCACTCACACAATATGAATGAGCATTGATGTGGACTAAGCACACACATGTATGTACAGTGACAGGAGTGATTGACAGCTATGGATAGGATCACTAAATGGCTGGGCCCGCCATTTGGTGATCCTATCCATAGCTGTCAATCCCAGGCTAGGGGGTGGGAACATACACACAGTGGCAAAGCTGGTGATATGGACTGACCAGGACACAGTTGCCAACTTTACTCAGCCCAACCCCTACGCCAAGCTCACACACTAGAGTACAATGGGTGCACATGAAACCAGACTGAATCCCAGGCATGCACAGCCAACTGTGCCTATCATTGAGAGTGACAAACCAGGATTTCTTCATTGACAGACTGTTACTGACAGCCACGGATAGACCAAAATACAAATAATTGTATGGAGACAGCATGGCTACAGCATGGTTACAACTGTTGTCTGAATTTCAGAACTCGTGCCTGAATGCTCAACTTTGATCAAAGGACACGCACTACTAGGATGTAACAAAGGATTGAGAATAGTTCCGAGCTATGCCTCTGCGTTTTCACACCTCACTCCTCAGACAGTTCCGAGTCTCGGTGTATTTGTGCATCAGGCTCGGAGTCGCCTTATGCATCAGGCTCACAGTTAGTTTGTGAACCAGGCTCCCTGCCAGGGTGCATATTGAGTACGAGTACTCTCTTCATGCACAACTGCTATCAATATCGTGTGTATTAAAGCAAAGGATACACTGCAGGATCCCTACAATAGGAGTAGCCAAGCATGACGCAGTACACTTTCCACAAAGAACATTACATCACCAGGTGTCTCATACCTATCTTAAGCATGTACTTGTATGTAAAATAGTACTTCGTCACTGCCACGAACTGGGCACGTGCGTCCCAAGCACACACAAATACTGACATTATGCATAGCTAATGCTACAGCTATGCCTATGGTTTGCCAAAGCAAAGCAACCCCCGTGCACTAGATGTGACAATTGTTACGATTCTGCGTCCACTTCACCACCACCACCACCACCGTTGCGCGGAATTTTCAAGGGCCGAGTGCTGCTGCTTACTATAATTGTTACGATGCCAATATTCCCAGAAGACCCATAACGACAGTAACTTGTAGTGGTCATGGAAGACAAGAAAGTTTGGGGAACAAGCTATGAACAACAGCCCACCAATTGAACCAGATAATGTACCAGCAGTGCTAACATAGAGGCATACTACTGATGATGCACATGTACTGATGGATTCTACGCTCCTAGCTTAACACTTAGCTGAAACACGTCCGCGTCTGAACTGGCCATGGCGTGGCGCTTTCAAGCAAGTTTATATTAATAGAGAGCATGCTTGATGTATTCAGTTTCCTCTGAGACAAAAATGCGATAATACTCATAAAAAGGACACACTTCAGGCTCATTACAAACATCTTGAAAGTTTTCGTCTTCACAAGTATACTTTCAAGCCTTCTCATCAGGTGAAATACAGGCAAGGGAAAAGGAACAGGAACAGTGGATTAAATACAGTAAGAAGGTGGTAAAACAGCGCAAAAAGAAAGAAAGAAAGAAAGAAGAGTTTTTTTATTGAGTTTTCTCGCATTTGCACCTTTGTGTCATTGTTGCAATTTTCGCTGTTTACTTTAGCTATCTTCTTTCTTTCTTTCTTTCTTTTTGCGCTGTTTTACCACCTTCTTACTGTATTTAATCCACTGTTCCTGTTCCTTTTCCCTTGCCTGTATTTCACCTGATGAGAAGGCTTGAAAGTATACTTGTGAAGACGAAAACTTTCAAGATGTTTGTAATGAGCCTGAAGTGTGTCCTTTTTATGAGTATTATCGCTTGATGTATTGTGCCTTTTTTTGTGGGAGAGTCCTCTGCCATTCCACTATTTCCATCAAAAGTGTCCTTGCTATGGTGGTTGTGGTGTACGCAAGATGCGTCGGTCGAGAGCTCAGTGTAGGGGCGAAGAAGTTTTAGAATAGCGAGGAGCTCTTCATAATCCACATCCCTCGACATCTGTTCGCATAAGGTGCTGTATCTACGCATAGCAAATTTGGTTCAAGATTACCCTTGTAAAGACAGCACTACATAATGACAGCTAGTCTTTGTTGGGTTTTGTGTCTGTCCTTTTGTCTAAAGCCCTTACCACTAAAAGCTTCAGCTTACAGAGGTAAGCTCTGTTAAGGGTAAGAGATCATGTCAAGACAAGGCAGGGAAACACATGGCTGCAGGGTGCTTGACCAGTTCTGTTGTGCGTGTGCCGCTTGTGTGTGCGTGTGCTCAGGACCTTACTTGCTTCATTGGGCATGTTCATCACACACTCTGGTGTCAACAAGACCACTCTTTTAGAGTGCACAGTGCGCACAGCAGGAAACACATCCTAACAGCGAATACAGATGGCAGAGCAACAGTCCAGGAACCAGGCCAGCACTGGTGTGTGTTTTGAAGCAGTGGCTACACCGCGTACGCAAAGGCCTACATGATGACATCAATGTAGCCTGACCACCAGGCACAGAGATGTCGGACATACACATTTATCTACAGTGCCATGTAAACAAAGCAACAACACATTTTAACACAGACCCATGTGAACAAGGAATCAAAACATTTCAACACAAACCCACTGGAAGATGCAAGCACACATGGCTATGTCCAACCAGGCCCTGGATCTGCCACAAACATAACAGGACTTCTATATGCTCTTGCGGTGGAGGATAAATATACACAGCGTCACAGAGCTTATCATTCTACTTAGGCATTGATGCCTATTGATTTGTCCTTCTGACATGTCACAAGACTGTAGGCACGGAGATGACCAATCGCATTGCACCTAGCAGGGCCTAGATGAGGCGATCAAAGCATGCTACAAGAAGTAGAACTCCATATTTAGTGGAGCGGGCTTTGATTTTCCCATCAAAGCCCGCCCAGGCGGGCTTTGATTTTACGATCAAAGCTCGCTCCACTAGGGCTTTGATTCACTGATCAAGCTCGCTTTTTTTTTACTCGACTCGGGCTCGAGAAGGCTGAGAGTCGTGCTTTCAAGCGCGATAGGAAGATCGAAGTGCGCGTTCTTGTCAGAAATCCAATCAAAACAGTCGTGTTCATGTTCTATCAGCCAATCACAGCCCTTTGCGAAGTATTTACAAGTTCGATATGATTTTCAAGCGTGGGTGCATGTCAGAAATGCAATCAAAACACTCGTACTCGTGCTCGATCAGCCTGCATCACAGCCCTTCGCGCTTCGCGCGGCGGGCTGTGATTAGGCGATCTCACACTCGTACTCTTGCTTGATTCCATACTTCATGCCATTCTTCTTGCCTACCCACACTGCCACATAGGGTTGTGTTGCATCACATACATGTACTCGTACGCATTGGCCACATAGCTACTCAATGTTGTTGGCATGTATGTATGTATGTGAGAATGCAGTGCATGGGGTATCAGCAGGCATGTGTGTATGTATGCGTGAATGCAGTGGATGGGGTAACAGCATGGTACCGTGGAATACAGGACACCCAGTACCACCACCACCCCCACCACCACCGCCAGCAGCAGCATCTTGACCCCCATGCAAGGAACCGTGTCACTCGCACAATGGAGAGTGCACAGCAAGCCCTCATGCATGCATTATGGTAGTACACAGTTACATACACACATATACATGTACATGTACAACACACACACACACTACACCAATACAGCTGGTTAAATGCATTGTCCTATATACAGTAGCAGGCCAAAGGAGTACATCCCTTGGGTTCAGCTCTATCATATGTACCAATCCCAAAGGCAAACACATCTATTCATAGGTAACTTGTGATCAAGAATGCTGCTTGAAGGCATTGGCAACTGCATGGCAGGTTCGGCACAGGATCGCCACACATCCACAAGGCAGTACTTGGTACAAGTACAGAGGAATATGATTGTAGTCCGCAACACCCGTCCAACTTCTTCACCTTGGTTTCCCCTCAGCAGCACCAGTAACCAACAGATACATTGCGGAGTGCTCAGCTGTCCACAAATTTTCACAGGAGAAGTATGGAACAACAGACCAACAAGGACAATCCAGGAGAAGTATGACGATTGTGTAACCTAGGTGTACCGTGTTGGTGGAGGTGGTGATGGTGGTCAGTGGCCAGGCCAGTGGTGGGTGGCTGAACCTGTCAAACACTAAACAGCCGTCAGCAGCACTCCTGACCCACTCTTAGCCTAGACCAGGCTAGGGGCTAGAGCTAGGGCTAGATTATAGCTAGGGGTGACCATCAATCACTCAAGGGCCATAACTCAGAAGCAAGGAGATACAAAATACACACCTAACATACACCACTCAACCACTAGTAGTAGTCTTTGGGATGATAGCAGCACTGTGCATGCAGTGTGCATGCACAGTGCTATCAGTGTGCGTGTAGTGTGCCATGCATGCATAGTGCTATGACTGAGTGCATGCAGTATGCCATGCATGCACTCAGGCATAGTATACCAGTAATGCACGTGGCTATGTATGGATTCTCTTGGGAAGGTTGGCCCGGGAGAAGGCTGGCTGGCCAAGCAGTGCACTTCATTCTGTAAGTCGCAGGCCACTTAGAGGCACTTGTCTTCACATTCAGTGCCACAATGAATCGGAGCAACCCGCAGCAGGCAGTCAGCCACTGCCAGTATACTAGTACTTCCCAGTGCCAGCATCATCATCACTGAGATAAGTGACCATACATCTCGAGCTGATCCAGCAACACAGCAGGAAGCCGACACACAGCCACTTGAGCTGGGTACTGCCCATGCAGGTCTGGTGATCCCGGTCGACGTATTGCCGATCTTTCTCTAGCCACCCTCCTGCTCCTGCTGCTGCTCCTCCTGCTGCTGCTCACTAGCCCGCTGCATGCTTTGGTGCCTAGACATGCCAGTGACACATGTCCACAGCTCGGCAGTACACCAAGCACACACCAACAGCCGCCGTGGGATACATATACCCCGGGAGGGTGACAGTTGTAGACCATTTTCAAAGCTCCCCTCCTGCAGTGCAAGTTCAGCAAATACTGACCTTGAAGTAGCAGTTTATCAGGATAGACCACTGTGCTTCCTTACCACCAAGTTTGCATGATAGCGCCTGGAGCAAGGGCTGTAGAAATACATATTCTAGGTGTGAACTACCAAAGAGAAGAACTCATTCACAGCTCATGATTGCTGGTTCCCCGTGTCCCCGGGTCAACTGGCGTGTTTCAGCAGAAGCAAAGGCGACAGAGCATCGTGTAGTTCCGCTCACACCTCGGTCAAGCGAGCAAGGTACATGCTCCCGGCACACTTCCGGTGTATGCTACCAGTGCTGCAATCTGCCAGGTAAGGAGTTCTTCTGAGCACTGGGAAGCAGCAGTAGGAAATGTATACCCCAGGAAAAGTGCAACGGCGAATCAAGTAACGCTACTAGCAATGCTACGGCTGTTGTTGCTGGTGTTGAGGCTGATGGTTGGTGCTGCTGCTAGCAAAGGCGGTTTTATTCAACACACAAACCAATGATATGCTGCTGCTGTTGCTGCTTGCTGTGATGAACTCTATACCAGTGTCAAACTACCAGGGGAGATTTCTCAAAGCTTGCTACCAGGCTGAAGGTCATGCAGCCTGGCTTGTAGATATGCTAGAAAGTATCCCGTGATAAAACTGACGGGAACCAATGCGACCACACCAGATCGCCTGAGTGCGTTGATTGGCGCATGTACCATTTCCCCACTCCTACCCTGCAACGTGACTGTGGCGGCTGGCATGCATTCGCGACACTTTGCATAATTGCTGCCAGTTTTTTTTCTGTTGATGTGCTGACACTGGCTCGTATACGAGTGCAGAGTGGACAGCCCAGTGTTTGTGCTCATCTTCACCTAGGAGAACTTGCAGCAATGCCTCAGGTACAAATACAGTTCGTATGCTGACTGCACAATTATTATCATCCACAATTGCTGTGTAGTTTAGCATTGACTGATGACGATGCTTCTTTGCGTTCACGTCTGATTGTTCTGTGCGCTTGCAGGTGTTGCATCCCAAGAAGAAGAAGCAAGTCTTGTGGTCCAGAATGACGCTTCAGGACCTCATCTCCAAGCCGTACAGAAGCCGCTTTAGACGGGCTGCTCATCCGACCAGCACCACCGTAACAGATCACATTCAACAAGACCACTGCAACAACGCAGCCATGGAGACAGCACCGCTAACGCAAGGCACTGCGGAGAAAGCAGACAGGATTCCGTGCAATGACGACGACAGCCAGTGCAATCGGCAGTCGAGCTTCGACCCGTACTCAACGGTGAAGATTACGTTCACACAAGTCGGACACGGATTCACACCGACCATAGAACTTGATAGTCCCCGTGATGAGAGTGCCAAAGAGCTGCATAACGAGGAGCACGAGAGCAGATCACAGCCGGTAGCCAAGTGCCCGGTTTACTCCACTGTCTCAAAACCCTGCAGTACTAGACAAGCGAGCAAAGCCGTCCCCTGTGAAGCTGATGAGGCGCACGACGACAGCACCGGAGAGGAAAGTGGCGAACATCCACCGATTCCACCACGCAGGCATCCACTGGCATGCACACCGACCAGTGATCCGGAGGAGAGCAGCACGGAAACGGACGTACCCGAGGTACCACAGAGGCTCAGCAGTCAGCGCTGCCAGAGCCTGGCATCGCTCGGCGTCTGCACGGCACGCTTGCCTCCCGTCGTACCGCAGAGGACTGCCAGCAAGGCAACAGGTCTCCCGGCGCTTCCGCTGGCTCACAGGAAGTCAAACTCATCGGCCGCAGAAGCGACGTGCAACAGAAATATTTCTGCCACGTCTACCAGAAATCAGTGTTTCACCGCCAACAAACCTGTCCCATCTCCAAGACCCGTCGCACTAGTAAAGCCAACCGCACACGGAATCATCGTGAACAAAAGCATTCCGCAGCCATACTCGGTAGTCATACTGAACTGCGAGAAGAAGAGAGCTGCAAGCCCGGATGACGACGGTCGGGAGAGGCTGGCGAGCGACCTTGGCGAGTTGGACGAAGCAGCCGGCAGCGCCAGGCAGCACAAACTGCTGGAGGACCAGCTAGTGTCCTTCTCTCTTTCTCCAAGCACACCACGGCAGTACGCGTCCATATCACGCGTGGAAACACACCGCGAGGAAGATGAACAAGAATCAACTAAAGCCTCCAGCAGCCAAAAACCCCAGACCACAACTCCAACAAAGCCAATGATAAGGAGCCGCAAGACGCAACTGACGACCGTGACACAGCGTGCGGTTCGCAGGGAAGCCTCACAAGAGGAGTACATATCAATGAATAGTCTGAACTCCCTGCCAGCAAACAACTATGAGCAGCAGACCAGCAATGACGACTTGTACACTCCGGTCACAGCCAGCTGCCCACCATCGCCGTACCTCTGCATGAAGCCAACGTTCGTGCGACAACGGCACCTGCCGCGCTCCTACTCGTCCGAGCAGGACCTGTTCGTCTTCGACAACGACAGTCTGCTGTGCATGCCGGCACGGCACGGTTCGCAGGACAGCATGCTCGGCGAGAGCCTCGAAGGCGACTGGTCGTCGGCGTCGAACACGCTCGAGCGCATGTGCCCCGTGAGCCGCAACCGCAGCTGCTCCGTCAAGTCGCTACCCGTGTCCGGCAGCGGTACGCTATCGGAACGCATGCTCTCCGTGAGCGTTAGCATCGACGCCAGCGCACACGGCAGCAGCGGCGAGGGAACGCCGCCGAGAAAGTCCGTCATACTGAGACGCTGCACGCCCGTGCAGCTGAAGCGCGATCAGCGAGCCGCCGTGTCAACCGCTGGGAGGCCGCTGCGTCGTGTGCTGGGCCAGGAGTCGCTGCTCGCCTCCAGCATCCCGGTGGGTGACAGGGACAAGTCAACCAAGCTCTGAGCATCTTCAGGACAATAATTTGAACTATTCACCTCTCCCCACTGTGCCCACTGTACACGCATACTCCACATTTCCAAGTTTTCTTTATGACAATGCTGCAGAAATACCTAACTATTCAGAGGTCCATACCGAGCTGGTATCGACAACTATCACCGAAAGTTGTCGGGTTGATGAAACACAAACTCGCCAGCCTTCACAATCAATCACACCTTTTCTGGACATCTGAGATCCTTTCTTTCAGTATTGTACCAGAATATTATTATATACTTCTCCAGTGCGCAACAAATGCTGCCTCTTGATTGAACATCTTGTATGTGACGTAGAATATTAATATTCTTTGAGACAACTGCTTGAATATAACGTATACTTATACTAATGGAAATCGAAAAAAAATGTCTGTGTCTTGTGCGAGAATTGTGTGGACGGCAGCAAGTGAACAAAGAAGAGATAATGTAGACAAAGGTTGTGTGTGTGTGTGAGAGAGAGAGAGAGAGAGAGAGAGAGAGAGAGAGAGAGAGAGAGAGAGAGAGAGAGAGAGAGAGAGAGAGAGAGAGAGAGAGAGAGAGAGAGAGAGAGAGAGAGAGAGAGAGAGAGAGAGAGAGAGAGAGAGAGAGAGAGAGAGAGAGAGAGAGAGAGAGAGAGAGAGAGAGAGAGAGAGAGAGAGAGGGAAAGAAAGAAAGAGAGTCAGTAAGAGAGGGAGACAGACAGACAGGAGAAAGAGAAAGAGAGGAAGAGAGAGTGAAAGAGAGAGAGAGAGTGAGAGAGAGAGAGAGAGAGAGAGAGAGAGAGAGAGATAGAGAGAGAGAGAGGGAGGGGGGGGGGGAGGGTGAAGGGAAGCAAGAAGAGATGTGTGTTTCCACCAGGTACATAGTGATACAGATAGACAGGAGCATGCGTGTACGTCTGTACAGCATCTACATCATCATGAAGTCTCTCCAAACGTGCGACAAACACAGAAACACGCTGTAAAGAGCCGTGACATGGCACGGCGTGATGATAATGTGCTGAGAGCATATACACTCCGCTGCGCCTTTGTGCCGTTGTCACACCCAGCTAATCAACTAAGCCTCCTATAAGAACTCCTTGTCACAACACCCTATAGGAGTTCACAGGCAGACCGCATGCACTAGCCAAACTCTCAACATAATCTACTGTGTTGTACTACTTAGTATTGCAGTGTACACGTACCTGACATCTGTATTTCTAACGATGTCATTGACAGAAGACATTATTTGTAGAGGGAAGGTTTCGTACAATGTGTTAACAAGAGCTACACAACTCTGCACAGCCTTATCTATAACCGGCGAGGTGCTCTATCCAAGGTCACATGACTGCTATAGTTAATACATAGCGAAACCATCTAACTTAAAGTACGCTGGATAGGACAAACTGTACATTTGGCATTGGATATAAAGCCATGATGTTTTCGAGGGTCCTGAACATCCTTTCCCAGTCACTTGACCTTGACTATAGAGCACAGTACATTGGCTATGACGACCTGATTTTCACCGTCCCTTTGAGGCATGTTACAGGGAAACGTCACTGTAGTGTATGGTCATACCTGATCTCGAACACAAACATTTCCATTCGGACCAATTATAGCATTGTCTATGATGGAATGTTATTGACTTTTTCCATGTCCCTATTCGATGTCCCAACAGCCAACACCATTTCTTCCTCTTCTTCAGCGCTGGTTTGTCATCAAGACAAATCACCATTAACATGCTTTCGCCATGTATGTTCAGGCGGAGTTTTGGAGTGGACACAATGACATACACACACACACACATCCGCACATGGTAAGCCACTCACGACACAAAACACACATGTTTCCCATCGTTACACCAACTGCTTATCGCTCCGGTTCTACACTCTGGAATTCCACAGTGATTGTTCTCCATACATGGAGTACACACAAACACAGACAAACACACTACGCTGCACTCCTGTATGGAGAGAGAGACACCACAGGCAAGATCACCATGAACAGAACACAACATCAAGACTTCGCTGGATGAAGTAATGCACCTCTTCAGCATGCATGATGCCGCATCAAGTAAATAAGGACCAGGTCCTCTTTGCATACCCCCCCCCCCCCTCGCGGCCTCATTTCTGCCACACATGCTTGTAAACATAGAATTTGACTCACACCGGCCGGCAGTACACGGCCTATGCATGCGTCATGAACAAGCAGGACTTGCTTCCACGTTATCAATGGTGACCAAAACAGCAAACTCACGTAGATCTACGCACTCACGCACACACACACACACGCACACACGAAAGCAGCATTCTAGCCCAAAATATGCGAACATGGAGTTTCATTTCCGGCCAAAAAATGACCAAATTCCCACGGAGTCATCCATCTTGCAAAGAAGCCATTGGCTGGAGTGTCTCCTTTTGGCCAGGTACCCGCTGGTGCCTACTGGCAGGCAATACACAATGGCTCTTGTGCAGTTATGGCCCGTACACCCAAGTGCTAAGCACACGTCAAACTATACAGTGGATCTTGTGCAGATATGGCCCGTATACCCAAGTGCTAGGCACAATTCAAACCACACAATGGCTCTTATGGCCCGTGCACCCAAGTGCTTGGCACAAGTCAAACTGCACAAGGCCTCAAGCTGGCAGTCAAGATGCCCCGCTGCATGCGCACTAAGCCCTGCTGCATGGACAATAAGCCTTGCAGACTTGCTCCAGCATGACATAACTAACATGCACAGTCACTGTTGATTGATTGATTCATCATCCTGCTATAGCTGTACAATAATAAGCATTGTCATGTCCCCCTGCAGTCAAAGTAGGCAATTTGCAAGGATCTCCGTCCATCACACACACACACTGCCAGAACTGAGGACGCAGTGAATAAAAACAGAGCTCCTACTGGGAAGTCAGCTTGAGTTCTACCCAATGGTGTGTTTGAACAATAACCAAACAAACAGAGCTTCCCTACAACGCCATGTCTATTCTACTATAAGACGTTGAATGGATTCGTTGTTGGAGGAAGTTACACAAGCACATAAAGCACAGGGGCCACTGGGATTTCTGATCAGGCATTTCGCACCTTACTCTTCAAAGTCTATGATGGCATTACCCATATTCATGGAGATGAGTTTTGGAGTTACGATATACACTACCGTTGCCGGGCGCCAAAGAATGATGCACCGAAGCACAACCACGAAAGAATTTCGCCAGGTACTGGCTGCCCGTCTTATCGGCGGCTCCGCCTTATTGAGATTTCAACATGAAAATAGGAACAGCTTAGGCTACGACTCTGAAGCCCCAGTTCTTCAGCACCCGGAAGTAGTGCAGTAGATATCTTGCACATGTTGGTAACACTCCTGTGTACGTTCATAGTAGAGGTACTACGAGGACTCGAGGAGAACCCTGCAAAGCTGTGCTCAGTTCTCCCAGGAGGCAAGTTCTGGACCTTGGAAAAGTAAGTTACGGTGTAACGTTACGCTAGCGGTTGTCTTGCACATGTTGGCGGAAACGCTGTGAGGGTTGGCAGCACAAGCGCTACAGATAAGACCCTGAAAAACCCTGCAAAGCTGTGCTTGTTTCCTTCCTTCCTTACATGTTTGATAGTTCACTAAGAAATTTAAAGACATCACACAACTCCACTATACATGCATTATAAAACGAAAAGAGGGTTTTATTAACTGAGAACTAAATAGAGCAGTTGTCAGTAGACAAACTACCCTTTCCTTCTATGTTTGATAGACTTTGATTGTGCAAGGCCATCTCCCCAGTTCCTCTCCACCATCAATCAAGCACAAACACAAAGCTGTGCTCTTGTGTCACTGGAGTTACAGAGCAACACGACGGGGTGGGGGTGGAGCTGCTGTGACTGAGTAAAACACCCTCTCCTCGGGCCGCAATGGTCTCACCATGAGCCAAGGATCCACGCACCGGAGAGGTAGGAAACAGACGCGAGGAGGAAGATGGGAAGAGCAGGAGGGTATAAGCAGGGTATTACTTCTATTTTGCCCACAGTGATTGGAGTGTGTTGCTGGGTAATATGACACGCGCACATCCGTATCGGGCATTGATTGTGAGCCTTACCACCTCACCCTCGGCGTTTATGGCGCTGCACCTGCCACCCTGGTATAAACAGGCATGGTGGTGGCCTGGCAAGAGCGAAACGTCTCTAAGAAGCTGGTTGTGTTTCTCAACACAATCGTAAGCCGGTGGGAAAGCGGATGTGCAAACTTTACTTTTAGATCATTCTGTTCCCTACACAACCCGAGAGACACTCTCTCAATCAGCACCAGCCAGGAACACTCCACAACAGTTCATGGCGTGACAGAAGACAGTTTTCAATGTCCCCCGCATGACTTGCACCAGCCATCAACTCCTCTCCAGCCCAACGCTGATAAGCTTCTTAACGAAGAGACCCACTTGAACCATACTAACATCAATGGAGAGCTCCTCACACCACGTACACGCAATTACTCGGTTTTCTAGTACCGAAACCGGATTCGTGAATGCTTCACTCAGCTGGTAATTGAGCCCCTAGGACCTTCTCACCACATTAGCACATGGACAGTGCACAGTGACCATCAGAAAACTGCATTGGCCACAGCCTTGCACCTAGCCTAACACATCACTGACGATAATGAGGTCATGTCAGATTTGCCTGCAGTGTACGTGAAAAAGTATTGTGTTACGTCACATCCATAAGCTGATCGTCAGGCAGACAGGTTGAAAGGGAACACTTCTCTGCCGGGGAACACTTCTCTCATGTCAGACGTGCTATTACCAAACCGCACATAAATTAGGGTCCCTCAACTCAAATTTCATCGGGTGCAAGACCGGACAACGGGCTTCTCCGATTCTCTCCCACTTCTCATACATGTACATTGTACACATAACTCAGAGCAACAGTGTCTTCTTATGGCAATACAGTGTCTTCTTATGGCAATACAGTGCATGCACGCATCCGCGTACGAACCTCGAGCGCAGCGCAACGCCAAAAGGGACCTTTTAGAGGTCACAAGGCCAACTCAAACACTCAACATGGTCTCTTCGCTGTATACGTCACAAACAAACGTCACTGAACATGAGTTAGTACAACACACAGCACATAATACTAATCTATACACAGCTGCACCAGGGACAGGTACGGTCCATGCAGTCATGTACTAGTGTTCACTGGCGCACGTCGTGGAGCGACTGCAAAGCCATGACATCACAGCGCTGCCATGATGTACATTGCATGTCTATAGGGCTTGAAAGTGATGACGTCAGAAGTCAAAATCTAACGGAAAATAACGACCTTTGGATCCACTTGGGTCCAGTTTTTGTATGGGTCAATACACGTTTGGGTGGTTTTCCTTTGCAGCATAGTGACATATCCACTGGTAGTGATTGGACTAGTCCCTTTCGGTCATGGACCCACACCTACCGGTGGATGTGTCACTATGCTGCGAAGGAAAACCATCCAAGCGTGTATGGACCCATACAAAAAGTGGACACAAGTGGATCCAAAGGTCGTTATCTGTCGTTAGATTTTGACTTCTGGCGTCATCACTTTCAAGCCCTTTTGGGAATGCTACAGCTGTCCTGAAAGGCATACCGTGTTCTACTACGAGTACATGTAGGACTGGTGCCCATGTATGCATCCAAGTACACTAAAACCTGTCAAGGCGACCACTCGGACAAGGCGACCACCTGTCCCAGAAGACCACTGAAAGCAGGATCAAGGAATGCTACTTCCAGTCAAACGACCCTGGATAAGGAGACCACCTGGTAACAGAGACCACGTTTTGAAGGTCCCTTGAGCAGTTGTCTTAGACAGGCTTCACCGTATCCATACATGCATGGATGCGGTACCGAGAGCAGAGTCAACCGGTTAGATAGAGTGCTCAATGGTTGCAGGAGCAGAGCTGCATCATCAGGTTTAAAACGTAAAAAACTTGCAACACAGCTTTCTCTCTCTATCTCTACTGCGTGGAAATGCCGGCCTTATACGGGCATTGAGCGCTCTGCGGGGGGGGGGGGGGGGGGGGCAGTGGAGCACCCTATTTGCTCACATATGCATGGCATACATACATACATACATACATACATACATACATACATACATACATACATACATACATAAATACATACATACATACATACATACATACATACATACATACATACATACATACATACATACATACAAACATACATACATACACACTAGTCAGAACAACAGATGGCTTGATCAGTCACAACTTAAAGTTTCATGCCATCTCAGGCACTCATCAGGGGAGTGCCTGAGATGGCATGAAACTTTAAGTTGTGACTGATCAAGCCATCTGTTGTTCTGACTAGTGTGTCACGGCTCTGCCTTCCCGGTATCGAGCTCTCTTGGATTTCTGCTGGAATTCACAACAGTATGTACATACATACATAATATTATGTGCACTTACACCCAGACAGGCAAACAAATACATACTCACACACATACAGAACTACATAAAGACACTCCTTCCTTCCTTTCTTCACCCTCTGCCACGATTGGCTATGTGTCCCCAAACGGGGCGATTTGAAGTAGTGCTGGCTTCAGGACATGGCATGAGGCACTGCAAGTCCGGCGGAACATGAACGGCTGTTTTACTGCTTTTGTTTTTTGTTTTGTTTTTTTTTGCTTTTGCGGACACTCACACCCATACAGACATGCCAACACACGCACTCACCACACAAGCCTACAGAAGTCTTACAGGTGGAGCGGTGGTGCACATCGGCTTGATCACCAGTCCCAGTGCTGTTCCTCGCTGGCTGACTGTCCGCTTTGGAGTCGTCTTCCAGCAAGGTTGACAAGTGTGAAGTCGCCAATTCCGGTGGTGGAGAACGAAGGAGAGCTGGTCCTGCACATCCACACAAGGGACAGAGTAAATATTTTCGAGGTGATAGGGTTCTGGGTACCTGTTCTAAAGAAACTGTTGGTAGACTATCAACACAGCAAGTCTTCCCTAAAGTAACGTACAATCGTAACACTGGCCTAAAGCAACAAAAAAAAGCAGATGATCGGCCAAAAATGAAAAATAGGAATGGGAGACGCATTCATCTGCAAACGCTGCCACTCCTGCTCACATACGCCTATCTCTCACTTACCGGCGGTGGCTTGGCGAGACGTGCATGCCGTGAACGGCAACGCATCGGTCAGCACGAACCCGTGCAGAAGACGGGCGTGCGGGGGGTCGGTCAGTGCTGTGATGACCTGGCTTGCGCTGGGACGGTTCTCCGGTAGCTGTTGCCAGCTCCAGTGCATGAGTTCACGCAGCATGATGGAAGACTGCAGGTGCTGTGGTGCAGTGTGGCAAACAACCCCGCAGAACACACAACAGGCACGGTGATGCCTTTTAGACTCCGCAACAATGTGGTTGATATGTGTGTGTGTGCGCGCACGCGCGTGTGTGTGTGTGTGTGTGTGTGTGTGTGTGTGTGTGTGTGTGTGTGTGTGTGTGTGTGTGTGCATGCGTGTGCGCGTGTGTGCGTACATGCATGCATATGTGTGTGTGTGTGTGTGTGTATGTGTATGGTGGGTGGTTGCACCAACCGTGCCTTGGTGATGGTGGTGACGGCGGCGGTGTTGGTGGTGACGGTGCATATTTGCTTTTTGAGCCGCTGGATTAGTTCAGGTTACCTCCCCCCTCCCCTCACACACAGGCATTCACATCTCATCACATTTCTCCCCCAAATACTGAAATAGCAGTCTGGATCTCAGCTGGATCCCAAGCAAGACAAAAAAAGGACATATTTCACACTGCAATGCTTCTAAGTGCACACACCAAGGCACCGGCGGGCCAGTTACCTTTCGGTTCAGCTTGGGACGGATCCCATAATGATAGCTCCGTTTGATCTCCGCTTCACTTGCGTTTATCATCGGTCCATGCAATGTGATGAGCTCGTACAAGACCATGGCATAGCTGAAGATATCAACCTGCGATCAGAACGAAGACGCACACAATGTTATCCACACAGTGCATGTGCAAATTGAAACAAATGCTCGTCAGTAGTTGTTGTCTTCATACATGTAGTTCAATAAGACTCTATGCAATGGATATTTTCTTTGTCATTCATTACCCTGATGATCGGCCAGGCCCGAAAATTTGGTGTAATGTTAATTTTAATTATATTTTTGGTTTGAATGGCAGTGAAGAGACCGTTTTTGGAGTTGAGAAGTGAAGTTTAAATGTGTAAGTGGCTGCGTTGGAGTTTGCGGACAATTAGAAGAAGAAAAAATGCTCGTCGCCACAATAGTAGAGGGGAGGGGGGTTACAACACGCTTACGCAATGCTGGGCAGAGAATTTAGTGAGCACCTTAGCACACTGAAACTTTTTGTCTGTGTATGTTCATTTGCCTAGATAGTGGTATCTGGGGAGGGAATGGGTGGTGGCGGGGTACATACACTTACACACAATGCCGGGCAGAGAATTTGGTGAACACCTTAGCACCCTCGTGTTCGTCTGTACGTTCCCCATTTGCACTGATATTGGTATCTGGGGGGGGGGGGGGGGGGGGGTACATACACCCGTACCTATTGCTGCACAGAGATTTCGGCGAACACCTTAGCACACGGCCACTTTGGCTGTGATGTCCATTTGCCTATGATTGTATTGGTATCTGAAGGGGGATGGGGGGGGGGGGGGGGGGTACACTCGTACGGGGGGGGGGGGGGGTACACTCGTACCCAATGCAAAGCACTGGTACATACATGATTGTATTCTGATAGAGGGTGAGCAGCTTTGTATACTGACCTTGTCTGTGTACGTCTCTCTACCGCGATACTGCAGTATCTCCGGAGCCATGTAACCAAACGTGCCGCAAAAGCCACGGGCACCGTCGTACGTCGTAGAACGACTGATTCCGAAATCGGCAATCTGGAGAGGAGAAGTAGGCACCACCAACCAGGCATTTTAGTAATATAAGGATAATAGTGCATATCCCTGCGCTCATAAACCCTGAGTGACAAGCTCTTACAATCCGTTTTCCAGGTAAGTGTACTAGTACTAGTACCGACATTTTGTTGCGTTCTACTTTAGGTAAAAATTGTCGGCACCAAAGTTACCCAAAAAAACACCACCAAAAATTTCTGCTCTTACAGAAGTAAATTCCTACAACATGCAGACGATGGTAGCAAAGATAAATTAATGTTTACAAAAGGAGGATTCTGTCAGACAGCTGCAGCTGCAAACAAAGAAAAAATTACGAATGATAGACCGAAAGCATACCTTGACTCGAACACCACACACAGCCACGCTTTCGGCGCTCAGCTGTTGCTTGGCAACGTCGTTCCTATACCAGTCGGCACTCTTGCCCGGCTGAAGAGCACGGAGTACGGGTCTAAACGTGCCCTGTTCATCGTTCAGAGGTGTAGGGTGCTCGAACACCAGCACATTCTCTGCTTTCAAATCACAGTACACGATATCAATGCTGTGCAGATACTCCAGGCCAGACGCAATCTGTAACACACACGCAAGCATACATGCAAGAATACACACAGCCATGTATCCATAGAATAAACTTGACTTCATTTAAATACGAAATAGAGGTTGCGACTTCGGCGATGATTTTGTTTAGAAATGGGTATGCTCCCACACCGGAGCTCGCGCTATTCCGCCGACGACTTAAATAGACAATAATTCAAAATCCCCAGATGAAACGTGTTTTATAGTCATACAAATGTATGTAAGGCCCGGTAGTAGATAATATTCATTATAGGACAAACCCACCTGTGTTGTCTACTATCGACGGTAGACCTGCAGCACCAGACTTCTCATACCCACGTGGTATACAGGGGCATGGCTGGCTAATACTGTAAAACATGTTATTTTAGGTGCATTGAAAATTTCGAAATTTCGGTGCCAGGGGCCTGCCGGGTTTCAGGTGTAATGTAAAATTAGGTGACCAGCTTTCCCTTCACATACAGTGCATGCTCTAGTGCCTTTTGGGTGTAATTTAAATTTAGGCGCCTGTCTTCTCTACCGAAATCATGGAAATTAAAGTTACGCCGAAAATAACATATTTGACAGTACTTCCCTCCCCTCCCCCTCCCAATGTTTCATTCCGTAAGTGTTGCTTTTGACAGGGCGGTTGTTTACCTGCAGTGCAGATGCCCAGGCGCTGGAGAAGCTCAGCATACGGCTGGCCTCGCGGTAGTTCTTGAGCACGCCGCTCAGCTCTCCCCTGGCCAGCTGCAGCACGAAGCAGAGCGGTCGCAGGCACACGCCGTAGAAGGGCACCACGTGCGGATGCAGCAGCGAACACATGATGGCCAGCTCCTTGCGCGTGTTCGTGTAGGCCTGCGCGATCTGCGACGGGTCCAGCATCTTGGCGTTCTTCTTGGCCGCCGCCGCCTGCTGCTCCCCGTCTGCAAGCAAACAAACAGGAGAATGGGATTCTTGATCGGAGGGAAAGAATTCAGCATACGAAGCACAGAAGCTAGCAGCAGCAGCAAAAGAAACAGCGGCAACAGCACCACCAGCAGCAGCATCAGCAACATACTGCTATGCCAATTAGTTTCTCTGGATCCTTCTCCCTCTTGCCTCCAAGGTGTTCTGTATGCCATAGCTGTTATTAAAAATAACCATTAGTTGAAGTTTGATGTATAAAAGCAAAGTGTCACATTCAGCTCTTCTTCCACTATCGAAGACTTGCCTGTTTGCCGGAGATCCCCGGCTTTAGACTTCAGCAGCTCATCATCGCTAGTATCCGACATGAGTGACTTGATGGCAACATCCACCGCTGGACTATCTGGAGTCTGTAGTCAACACAAAGGAAAGAAAAAATTCACGCTTCGCGCGAGACTCGGCTAGAAGCCGAGTTTTCCGCATCCGTAGGAACGCCACCGCGCTCTTGGATCAAGGGGCAGCTCGGCTAGAAGCCGGGTTTTCCGCATCCGTAGGAACGCCACCACCCTCTTGGATCAAGTGGCAGCTCGGCTAGAAGCTGAGTTTTCCGCATCCGTAGGAACGCCACCGCGCTCTTGGATCAAGGGGCAGCTCGGCTAGAAGCCGAGTTTTCCGCATCCGTAGGAACGCCACCGCCCTCTTGGATCAAGGGGCAGGTGCAGCTCCTAAAGCTGTGGGAGGTGAGTAGATCAGACCCACCACAAAATGGTCAAAGACCGAAAATCCCATTCACTGCGTCCGTGTTTCCTTCGTGCCAGGTCACGAGTTCCCAATTAACTGTGGGTCGCAGCATGGCTAGAAAAAATCCTTCCGCTTCCAAGCAGGACTTGAACCTGGTACCATCTGTTTCTCAATCATGGTCTTAGACCATCACACTATGCCTGCCTGTCAACACAGAGGAAGCACAAGAAAAGACTTGAGGGCATGCCCGATGGAACTGATCCTTGACGTTGGCCTTTGCAAGGATAGCCATCGGACTGCCTGAATTTTGATTGGCTAGAGGCATCCAGCAAGTCCCATGTTGCCGATTTGATGGCTGGACATTTTTTTTTTTTACTATTGACACAGCCCTACTGGAAAACAGGTGGAGAACAAAAAGAAACGAGGAAAAGGACAAAACATAGGGGATGTAGGGATTACATGGCAACTTGGATCGGTGTGCAGGAACAGTTCGTTGGGGTACATCGTTTCGTGGTGAACAGCTGTGACCCCTCATTCGTGTACCTTCTTTCACTTTGCATTTCAGTTTCATTTTCGACTTTACCCAACATCCTAGGAACAGCGTCTGGGTCAAACTGCCATAGGCGGTCAATGAAGTCCACCCAGCCAACTTTGAGCGATATCAGAAATTAGGCCCTGCCCGGAGATGTTTGGCCGTTGCGGACATTGACCATTAATCCCTTCACCACTGGCGACGTACACGCAAGAGGTGACCAAGGACACGGCATATACGCACTCTGTAAGAGGTGAGAGGGCTATGCAATGTTGCTTTCTACTTTCAGATCGCACGAAAGCCCACACAGTGAAACCTGCGTAAGACGACCGCTCAAGGGACCTTTAAAATGTGGTCTCTGGTACCAGGTGGTCTCCTTATCCAGGGTCAATGGACTGGAAATAGTGTCCCTTGGTCCTACTGTAGCGGACATGGAAATCCAGTCGATAGACCGGGGGCCGGCGACCTCGCGTACAGAACGCTGCGTGCAGTGCATATGTCGAACCCGATGCGACCAGCGCGCTGCAGCGCATAAGCCATGCATGTGAGTACCGCTTATCCACGGCTGCATGGCCAGTGACCTGGGGCCGCTAGACGTGCAACCGGATTGCCATGTCCACGACAGTAGTTGTAGCGGTCCTCTGGAGCAGGTGGTTGCTTTATCAGAGTGGTTGCCTTGACAGGTTTTACTGCAGGCCCACGGTCATGCACACAGGGATTCTTCTCACCTCGTCCGTTCGTAGTGTACCGCGATACACGGCACCAAACGCGCCAGCGCCAAGCCGGTCTCTCTTGCGCAGGTTCTTCGGTGCTATGATCTTGCACGGCGGCAGATCTCCAAACACCTGAAGTCAGTAACACGAATACACATGCATATCAAGAAATGTATTTTCCTTTTTAGACCAAGAGTGGTATATATGACTAACAAAGAGGATTTACGATACTTTTCCAGACGTTTCGTTGTTCTGAACAACATCGTCAGTGGATAAAGAAGGCATGGCTAATAAGGATTGTGACACACCAGTGGCTGTTAGCTTCATGTCAAAAAGTTTACAAACTAGACTGGGTCGACATGATCATTACACACATGGCTGAATCCAAGTCCAGTCCGTACTGGGGGGGGGGAGGGGAGTGGGTCACTGGACCATGCGATATGATGGCCTTTTTGGCTCCACTGTTCAAATGCCATGTACTGTACAGTCCTTGTCATGGCACGCAAACATTAAATGTCACACGACAATGATAATTATGCAACACGAAACACGTCACACGATAAGGGGCCATCCGGCATTATCGATATTTTTCACGAAACGAAATGTTTAGCTTAGCACCCACCCCACTGAACGAAAACTAGATTGACTTGAGAGCTAGAATGCAAAGATATCTCACATATCAATACTTTTCAAAACGAAACTCTCCTTGACCGGCCCACCCATAAACGAAACTTTTTCTTTTCGTGTAATAGATCGATAATTTATTATGGAAAGCCCCTAATGGCCTGCGGCATGTGCGCACAACCCACCACGTCCGGCGACATCACCTCCAGGAGCTGTGGTCCGTGACGCAGACACATGACATGCAGTGCTTTGTCTTGTGAGTGTACATCGCCACCAGTAGCAGCACCAGCAGCAGCACCAGCACCAGCACCACCATCATTGTTACGCGTTGCAAATACCAGCTCGTCCCAGTGGAACAGACAGCTGGCAATGCCAACCTGGCCGTTATTGGTCCTGAGTCGGCGAAGCTGGAGTACCTCAGGCTCATCGCTGTCCGGAGCTTCGCAGACGCACTGCATTGCACAACAGAGCAGAGAGCATTGGATTCTTTAATTGGTGGGAAAGTTAGCTACAAACTGGAAAAGTTTGAAGAAAACTAAATTACTGTCATCACCAGGACTCGGTCCAGCTTATACACAGCATTGCTGGCAAGGTGACGGACACATTTGACCATGAATATGCTGTCTTAAACCCTACTCTTTTTTTCTTCTTTTAATCTTTTCCTTTATGCGAGTGGTAGAGATACGAGTGCATGATACGAGTGTGTGTACAAGGTTCTCACTTGGTGGCACGAAACCAGCTTCATCGACTGGCTGATGACGCCGGAGAACAAAGTGATAGAGATACGAGTGGTAGAGATACGAGTGCATGATACCAGTGGTAGAGATGCGAGTGGCAGAGATATGAGTGGCATGATAAGAGTGCGTATACACGGTTCTCACCTGGTGACACGGAACCAGCTTCATGGACTGGCTAATGACGCCGGAGAACCAATCCTCCACCAGCGTATCGATGTGACTGATGGTCTTGGACATGAGCAGTGCGCACAGTGAAGCCAGGCTATGGCCAGTCTCCTTGCACAGTGTACCCGCATCTATAGACACAGCGCACAGCATGCCCAGTACAGATAAAACAAATTAATAAAATAATTCATGGTTCGCTCGCGACTCGGCTGCAGGCCGAGTTTTCCGCATGCGTAGGAACATCACCATCCCCGAGGATCAAAGGCGCAGATGCAGCTCCTAAAGTGGTGGGAGGTGAGTAGATCACACCAACCAAGTGGTGAAAGTACATTGTACAGATAAGAGAGTATAATAAACGTTGTCACGGCGCATGAATCATTTGAGCTATGTCTCTGTGTGTCAAGTGCCATGATGTCGGCTACATTGTCGCCATGGTGGAGTTTGTGCTCACTGCAGCTGGTCATACAGTCCAGCTGTCCGTCTCTATGCCTGACTAGCTTGACTTACTAACACTTTGTAGTGTAGATAGATAGAGAGAGAGAGAGAGAGAGAGAGAGAGTGTGTGTGTGTGTGTGTGTGTGTGTGTGTGTGCGTGCGTGCGTGCGTGTGTGTGTGTGTGTGTGTGTGTGTGTGTGTGTGTGTGTGTGTGTGAGAGAGAGAGACAGAGAGAGAGAGAGAGAGAGAGAGAGAGAGAGAGAGAGAGAGAGAGAGAGAGAGAGAGAGAGAGAGAGAGAGAGAGAGAGAGAAAGAGAAAGAGAGAGAGAGAGTGAGAAGAGAGAGAGAGAGAGAGAGAGAGAGAGAGAGAGAGAGAGAGAGAGAGAGAGAGGCGGTGTTTTACACATGCAAAGTGTGTTGAAGTGCGCCAGGGTGGCGAACATATTAATATGGCAGGGAAATGAGTTGAACTGCGCATGTATACGGGCAGGCAGGCATCCTCACCTTCATGCTGTGCTCTTAGCACTGCTACCTGCACTGAGTGATCACAGTCTAGAAGGACCCACTGGCTGTCCCTCCAGAAGTACTGAAGCTGCGGACACACATAGCGTACAACATACATCACAGACAGAAAAATATCGTTTTAAAGGCTGAACAGTACTATTGTGCTTGGGATGATGAGGTGAGATCTTAATGGTGGAGACAGTGCTGTACGGAGGAAATTCGATTTGCTAATATCTACAACTTGGAGTCATGTTACTGCTGTGAGCGAGGTCGGCCAGATAGCGCATGTGGTGGAGGTGGAACAAATTCATTCGACAGTTATCATTATATGAAGCTCAACTGCTTCGTAAGCCATGGTAACAAGAAGAGTGTGCTGGCAGGCCTGGAGTATAAGCCTCATTGGAGTACTGTAAAATCCATTATTCTAACGAGGCGCATATTATAACGATTTCTTAAAATTGACCAGCTTAATACGCGTATCAAAGATAACGATTCCCACTCACTCTCAACGTTCAATAGCAACAATATTTCTGTCTGACGTTTTCTATTTTAACGACAGATTTCTCTTCGTTAATTCGTGAAATTTAGACTCGGGTGGCGAGCCAAGGATTAATTTATAAGAAGAAAAGAGGACCAAAGAGCTACAAATTATGCTATAATTTATCCACTAACACCACTAGTTACTTTACAATCAGCTCATGCGATAACATTGCATGACACTGACCAACGGTACTGACGTTCTACACCTAACTGGCAATCAGCTCTAGCACACCTCGGATGCGCACTCCAACAGCCTTCCAACCTGGAAGGTTCTAAGTGATAGAAATGACATAAGGAGGAGAAGGTGCGCGCAACCACATGAGCCGATTGTAATGTAACTGCAGTGGTGTTAGTGGATACAGTGGTCCCTCTATAATCCGGCACCATTTGTGCCACGAAAATCTGCTGGATTAGGGAGGGTGCTGGATTAACAAATCTGATTTACTGCTGCAATGTACATGAAGAGGACATTTTGGCTACTGAAAATTGTGCTGGTTTATCGAGGGTGCTGGATTATAAAGTGCCGGATTAGAGAGGGACGACTGTATTATAGCGTAACTTGTAGTCCGCTTTTCTTCGTTATAATTATATCAGGCTTTTACAGTGCTAGTTTTAGACTATCTGTTGCACATATCATATTGTGTGTCACTGCCAATAGACCAACCTTCCTATTCTTGTCATCGACTACGGCTGCACGGCCGTCGACGTAGAAACAGGAGTTGCCCGTCGTCCGGGGATCGGACAGCTCCGGCAGTACCTGTACGTTGCCGCATTCGGATATGTGCAGCAGCAGCAGGCTGCCAGCGCACTGTAGCTGGACTCCCGATGACCAATAGCTCCACTCCAGCTCGGCAGGTAGCGGGCTGTCGGATGCTGTAGGAAGACGTCATGCACAAGCGGCGATATATTGGGACATATACATCTATTCCCCGCCATTTGGTTTTGCGGGGCAAGTCTGCCACAACCATACACACCTTGATACCAACTCTGCATAAAAGGTCATGAACTTTGTAAGGTCATACTCATAAATGTACTATAACGGGTTGTATCTGCCAAGTATGGGGTGACTTGCCCCGCAAAAAGGTGACAGCCATCTTAGATGCATACCTCCCACTATACAAGCTTGCACTATACAACCTTGCACTTCTTTCTGTCCGACTTCCATGGGCACCTGAATGGATATCAAACAATGGTATGTATACTTCTGAAATGCATTGTAGAGGCAAATCATCACAAGACTCTTTGTACACATGTCAGCCGGTCCTGCGAGAGCACTAACTGAATCTCAGGCGACAAATCCGGTCTTTGATGTCGGCGATGTCCTTGTCTGATAGAATTCGCGAGATGAGGCGCGCCCAGAAGCCGCTCGGCACATACGGCATCGTGACGTAGCGATGATAGAGAGCAGCCTGCATGTACACACAGGCATATCCATATACAGTCATACCTCGGTTATCCGGACCCCGACGTTACCCGCACTTCGGCCGTCGTGAGAAGAAATATTTCTAACAAACACAGCGGGATCCTAACCTTATTCATGTCCACATCAAGACAGCTGTCAGACTTCTTCTTGGGCAGTAGTGAAGGAACAAGAAGCTCGTCATCGTTGATGCGCAGTGCCACCTCAAACTTGGCAAGCAGCTTCTCATACTGACCGATGTGGTCGTTGGGAAAGCTGTTCGACTTGAAGATCTGCCCGTAGTTCTTGACTTGCAAAATGCCTAAAGAGAAGGGAAGGGAAGGGAGGGAGAGAGGGGGAGAAGGGGAGAGGGGGAGAAGGGGGGGGGGCATGACGAAGTGTGCGCATGTAAAACCCATTACATTTTAATTGAAAAGCGAATGGCACACCTAAAAACAATTCACAGTTCGTGTGAGACTCGGTTACATCCAGTTGTCCGCATCCGTAGGACTGCCACCACCCTCGAGGCACAGATGCAGCTCCTAAAGAGGTGGCAAACAATATCCTCTGAAATATCATCACCTTCAGAACACACTCCACGCAAATTGCACCCAGTAAGGACAACAAATGCCAAATGTTACGCATGGCTGTTTGCATATCCGAATGCAAACAGCGAGCGGGTATACAAGCCCTTTACGATAATTCCAGTCCACGCACCGTTCTTGACAAAGGTGTGAACGGCATCCACGGTCACAACATGAGCCAGCATGTCGCACAGCCACTGCGGGTCCAGGAAGTAGAAGTCGTTCAGGGACGGGTCGTCATAGTGCAACATCACACCTGGGAGTAGAACACAGCAGCAGACATACAGTAAAAATGTCAATGCGACCACTTGGCTAAGGTGGTTAAGGCGACCACCTGTCACAGAAGGCAACTTCAGGGATGAATTTATCCGCTATCACAGCTATCGCATCGCAGTTTGCTGTTTTTTTTTTACAAAATAGCCACAAACCATCATGGTGCAAACGCCGGCAAAAACGCACAGAGAAACACGTAGGGATGGCAGCCGAAGCAGTGGAGGCGGGGCAAGAGCAGCTAAACCGACCAAGGGTCTCGGTTTCAGCACTGCTCATGCGCGCCAAAATCGATATGCAAAATCGATCTACTGCTACTCAAAAATCACTGTGACTGGGAGAAAACTGCGATACATACAGACTATCTATGCCTAGCATGCCTAGCTTGCTCCGTCAAGTAACATCCATAGAGTGCAGTGTACTGTGTAGGTGCATGACTGTACTCTCAAAAAATTACAGTAAATTCATTCCTGAACTGTAACCAGGACCGAGGGATACCATTTCCAGTCAAATGACCCTGGATAAGGAGACCACCTGGTAACAAAGACCACGTTTCGAACTTGGTCCCTTGAGCGGTCGCCTTAGACAGGTTTCTCTGTATCAGCATCGGCACATCAGGAAAGATAGTGAAAATCACCCTCCTGTACCGAAAGGGGAAGCATATTGCACGCACCGGAGGCGCTATAACCGCTATCACTCTCACTCACCGTTGTCATGGAGAAAGTTGACCGCGGCAGCTAACTCCTCTTTATCGTCGAAATCTCCCTGGTCAACATCGAGAAACATCTCCCTGTAGAAACCACACAGGTAGAACGAATTGAGGTTCACTCCCTCCCATTGCACGCCCAGGAGCGCCAAGCTCTGGACAAATTGTGGTTCACTCCCATTGTGCACCCAGGAGTACTAAGCTCTCCGGCTTGCCTAATGTTAAAACGATATTGTTTAAACTCATCCTTGATCCAGCTCAAGTGCAAGAATACAGTAAAACCTGGCAAAGCGACTTCTCTGACAAAGCAACCGCCTGCCTCAGAAGTCCACCACAACTAGGACTGATGGATGTTATTTCCAGTCAAACGCCCCTGGATACGAAGACCACCTGCATAGGGGGACCACATTTAAACGATCCCTTAAATGATCACCCCAGATAGGTTATATTGTATTCCGTGCATCATATACTTCTGTACTGGCGGCTGCCAAAGAGAACGTAGTGTCAAAGAACAGACAGGCTAGAATTTCACCAAGCACAGCATAGCGACATACAAGGCGACTCTACTGCGCATAGACTGCTGTACATGAAAATTTGAACGGTCCAGGTTACGAGGCTGCCCCCCCCCCCCCCCCGCCAGTTCTTCGGCACTCGACAGTACTGTATGAAAACGTTACCTGAACTCCTTGCCAGACATCCAGGGCATCTTGCCGCAGTGCTTGAGACGCAGGGCAGTCTCGCGGATGCCCTTGCCGAGGTTCAAGTAGCTGCTGGGTACTTTGTCGTCGAGAACGGATGCACGGTGGCCGCGATGCACGCCACGCAACTTCGGGTCTAAGAGATAGCGAGACAACACCAAAGACAAACAGAGGGCAGCTGGAGGTAAGCTACTGAGCTTGGGAATTTCCCGAGAAAACCATACTTGGGGCGATTAGTAGGGGTTCAAACACAGTCACTCTAAACTGCATCGCAACCTACAGATTCGGCCAAGGGATATTGATTCCTTGTCCTGGCGGCAAGCTCTGCACACACTATTTTACTCTTAATATTCTTGCACCCCCCCCCCCCCCCCACACACACACACATTTCCAGAAAGAAGAATCCGTTGACTAGTTCCATATTTCAAAGGATCAGTAGTTGGGGAAGTGAACTACTAAAAGAGAAAAAAATGCCAGACCAACAAGGACCTGAACCCGGGACCTTGCTTGTCATGAGCAATGCTCTAACCATTTGAGCTATGGGACCAGACCGAACCTAGTTCCATAATGTCGTTATAAATAATTATAGTCTTATACAGTTGTCCCTCTCTAATCCGGCACTTTATAATCCAGCACCCTCGATAAACCAGCACAATTTTTTCAGTAGCCAAAATGTCCTCTTCATGCACATTGCAGCAGTAAATCAGATTTGTTAATCCAGCACCCTCCCTAATCCAGCAGATTTTCGTGGCACAAATGGTGCCGGATTATAGAGGGACCACTGTACCCCTTGTTCGGCATTCAGTCATCCGGCACATCCATCATCCAACAGCGCACGGACAGCTCATTCATTGTATATTCAGTCCTTCATTCATCCAACAATGTCAGGTTCCGACGGCGGCGGACAGCTTACATGCAACTGTATGTGTATCCATGAATCATGCATTGTTCTTGTTCATTTGATTTTGCCTGTATTTCACTCGACGATAAGGCTTGAACGTATACTAGTGAAAGCTATCAAAATGATGCTGAAGAGCCTGAAGTGTGTCCTTTTCTCAGTGTCATTGTATCCATAAAGAGAAAGATAATTTTCTCTTACATTTAATGAAAAAAAATTAAAACAAGCAGGGGAACACCGAGTGATCAGGTATTCATGTCGACACACGGACTTGACAACATCTACACACAGACTTCACAACACATGACTAACCTCCGCCGACCTCCAGTTTCGATGCCACACCGTAGATGTTCTTTCTGAGCTGCTTCATGCTGTCGTCGTCCGCCAGCGCGTTGACAAAGTGAATGGAGTAGATACGCGGGTACCCTACTCGCGTACTCCTCGGCGTGCCGTCGTACAGTCCGTAGCGCTCCGTGATCTCCTTGCGCAGCTCGTCCAGGTAGCGCCACTTGCGCTGGCTGCCCTGCAGGCGGTCGTAGTGTGTGCCGACTATGATGACAGCTGCATCCGGGGCCCGTGCCTGGAGTTTAACATGAAAACACACCACCATCCTTTAGATTTTCATTCCCCAGTGGGCCTATTGCGGCTGCTAAAACCTGATACAGCCAGGTGAAACAATGAGAGCAACAGCACTGTCATGCGCATTGCCAAGCTTGGTGCCCCCCCCCCCCCCCGGCGGAACTCTCTCCCCATTGCATAGTGCCGACTATGACGACGGCTGCATTCGGGGCCCGCGCCTGACATTCAAGATGAAAACAAACAGGGATGTTGTCATACACGGCACAACCAGTACAGCCATGGTCGTACCACTTTTCGGCCAGGATGGTCCGCCCAATTCATCCAACAAAAAATAGGAATAAAAGAGCTCTGAAACGCGCCCTGTTGGCCGAAAACCCGTTTTTTTTCCTGGGGACACCAGGACACCCGCTCGTACCCCTCTGCGCTGCCCTGTGACGTCCCTGATATACCATCGTTAACATTTTCATTGCCCGGGGGAGGGGGGGGGGGGGAGGGGCGGTCCACTCCTATTAGGTTTAGGCCTGTTTTGATTCCCACTTCACAAAAAAAGTATACAACAAACATGGGGGACGGATGTTCCTTCGTGATGTATTTTTCGGCCAGCGGGGCACGTTTTAGCGCTCTACAGGCTCTCTGGGCGGAACATTCTGGAAGAAAACTGGTACGACCATGTGTGACGCCTCTGACATATAATTATGTAGAAAGCAGAGAACATAGCACCCATCAACAATGGCCTAGGGGGTTATCTGCTCATGAGGAAAAGAAGTGGGGAACTCGCCTTACCTGGATATTGACCAGCCAGCTGTGCAGTTGCTTGATGCCGTCGCTGAGCTCCGTACTGCGCCAGAGCAGCAGATAGACGGCGCGTTTGGACAGGAAATACTGATGCGTGGCATAGTACTCTTTCTGCACGGGTGCAAGGGTATAATATCACACAGATATGCAACCAACGACACACAGGCATGCAGGAAATCAGTAATTTTTGTAATTTATTTATTTCTGGATTCCCCAGAGGCTGGAAGGCCTGTCGAGGGGATCTCCATATCAGCATATAAAACAACAACAACATGATTTTATAAAAAAAGAAAAAGGACCAAGGAACTACAAGTTACGCTTTAATGTCGAAGATGTGCTAGAGCTGTTAGCCAGTTAGTTGTAGAACGTCAGTACCGTCGGTCAGTGTCGAGCAATGTTATCGCATGAGCTGATTGTTTAGTAACTGGTGGTGTTAGTGGACATTATAGTGTAACTTGTACTTGTAGTTCCTTAGTCCTTTTTCTTTTCTATAAATTAATCCTTGGCTCTCCATCCGAGTCCATTCAACAACATGATTGATGCACATATAAGTTATGATAATAATACGTCGACAGGGATGGTGTCAACTGACATAACGTCACTAAAACGGAATAGCCAATAGATTGTTTAGCCCGCAAAATAACACCATAACTGGCCGTTCAGTTCTTATTCCGCTTGTGCTTGTACTGCCAAGGCCACATCGGACATCGGACAAAACAGGCTACTGTCTGCAGAATCGGGAAATAGGAACAGGACACTGAGCGCCTTTTTTATTTTTATATTCTATACTATGTTCACATATACCCAACTCGTAAATAATAATTAAAGACAATGGTACTGAGCCAAGGACAAACGTGACAACTACTGAGTAGGGGCCTGCAAAACTGCTCCTGCTACGAGTTTCAAGCACATGCAAACATTAGACGACAACATGGCATTTCAGCAATCACAGCACACAGGATGCATCCTTCATGCCCCCCCCCCCCCCCCAAAACCCACAGAAACGATCGATGGAATAGTTCATAAATCACCACAACCCAGCCAACGATATCAAAGCAGCCTTGCGGCGTATTCGTGAAATAAGAATCAGGACAGCCTGTAAACGAGTTAATACCTGTCCGCCAAAGTCCCAGGTCATAAACGTGATCTCCTCCGCTACCTTGGAGCTGAATAAACCGGTTGGTGGCGCGTACTGCCATGCTCCCAGTGACACGCCGACCGTAGATATATTGCTTGGTGTTTTACCCGTTGGCTTGGCCGCTGCGCCTGCAAGAGAAGCAAGATTGTAATGGGGAAAACCCAGAGACAGGCGGATTGAATCAGATGCAACGTACATTATACACATATGAATCATTGTCTTGTATTTTTGCTTAACACCGTGAGCAGAAAACATGCTTTCTGACCAGAATAACGTCCAACTCCTGTTACATGATGAAGCATACAGTCAACTTTGCGTATAACGACACTCGGTGGGACATCAAAAAAGTGTCCTTATTCGTGAAGTGGCCTTATACCCGAAGTCTCATTATATGTATTACAGTTAGACGGGACTTTGCTCTGGGCATGGAGATTACGCCGTTATTCGCGAATTGTCGTTATATCCGCAGTCGTTATTAGCCAAGTTGACTGTATATGTATCCATGCGTAAAAAGCCTACGCAAGAGGTACACAAAAGGAAGTATATAGGGCTGTTTTTTGTTGTAACTCAGAGTTTCATGGCAAAAACCAATCATCAGACAACGTAAAAAGCCTATAAATATCCTGAAAAAAAGACATCATGGCAATGTAAACAGCCTCTAGCACATCTAGGGCTTCCCGTCTCCCTGTTATAGTTATTGTACTCTTTGGCGCAACTCACACCACCGTTCAGCGTGTGTATGTTTGATCATACTTTTACCGCCAAAAAGACATCACCACAAACACCTCCGTACCTTCTGTGTCTCGCACCCAGACGCTGCGTGAAATCTCCTCCTGCATCTCTGCATTGAGCGGCCTGTTGCCTTTGAGCGTGCGCAGCAACGTCGTCTTGCCGCGTTCCTCCAGACCCACCATCATCAGCTTGAGACGGCGGTACGGAGCAGCGCTGAGAAAGGAATACAGTAAAACCTGTGACTAACAACCACCCCCCTTGGGGGCCAGAGAAAGCGGTCTTTATTGGCAGGTGGTCCTTAGCTAGAGGTTTGCAACGCACAACCATATTATGAATGTGAGGCCGTCCGTGCCTGGCAACGGAGAATGTAGGCTTCGGTTCCCTGAGCTGCTCTGAGGGAAATGCCTTGAAACAGGGCGAAGCAGTTACTGTCTGAAGGTATGAAGCTTGGGGATTTCCCATCTCAGCAGGGGACCTAGCATCCCCCAAAACACACAGTGCCCTTAGGGGCCATCCGGCATTATCGATAATTATCACGATAATCCCCACCCACTCATCCCCTTCAACAAAAAATAGATTGACTTGCCAACTAGAACGGATTGATGTTTCAGCTATCAATAATTTTCAAAACGAAACGCTCCTCAACCCACCCATCCATAAACAATAATTACGGGCGGCCCCTTACTTTCGAAGTCTTCCCTTGAGAAAGGTGATGATCTCGGACACCTTCTTGCCAGCCAGGAAATCCGGTGCCGGGTCGACAATGTTGAGCCCGTCCATACCCAGCGTGTAGAGCTCCGTCAGCAAACCCAGCCGGTCTGGCAGACGGATGATCTCGGTGTTGTGAGAGAACTGCCAATGACGGAGAACACAGGAAAGATCGCTAACGACGGACAACACAGGAAAGATCGCTAACGACGGACAACACAGGAAAGATCGCTAACGACGGAGAACACAGGGAAGATTGCTAAAGAAGTGTCGTACAGATAATAATCGCAATATAGCGATGAATGCAACATTTCAGAGTAAACGCTCCTTTTGCTAAATTGTTGCCGTGCCAATCGAAATTTTGCATGTACAGTACAGTACTAATCATCCTTCTTTTTTACTGTGAAAATCGGATCGCTAAAATATTTCATCACAAACTGGTCCTGATTAAGAAAACGCTAAAAAGGTTACCCGCTAAAATTAGCCGTTCTACAGTATTCACTCACGTTGAGCATGGAGAGTGTTGACGCCAGCTTGGACAAGCAAACCGGAACGTCACGCAGCATGTTGTGGCTAAGGTCCAGGTGACTGAGGGCTGGCGACGAGACTTCTTCTGCTTCTTCCTGCGTCAATTTACCGCGGACAACGGCCGCCTCACCTGACGATGCGCCTCCCCCTCCCGATCCTGGGTACAAGGACAACATAAAAAATGAAAATGGTGCTCTCACGATTTACTGGTGGTGACACAAATCACTCAATTTTTTCTCCACACTTCTTCCCGTTTGAAACTTTCCCTGAAACTTTAATATGAAAATTCACTGTCTTGGAAAGGATTGGGAGAACTTCAAATTCAAAGGATAAGTCGGAGAAGCGAACAGCCCGAAAAGAGCATTGCTCATGACAAGCAAGGGTCCGGGTTCGAGTCCTGGTAGGGTTGGAATATTTCTCTCTTTCAGGTAGTTCACTTCATCGACTGATCCTTTGATTCACTGCTTTTCGATATATACGCCAAACCTACTTTCAAAAACACACATACAAGCATACACAGGCAAACACAAACCACAGAACAGCATGCATCCATGCCCATACACGCATACGCACTTCGGAAAGGGACAAAGAAATGGTATGATTACGCTACAGTGCTAATTGCCCAGAGCGAAAATTTCTCTCCACTGTTTTTGAAGCGCATGACGCCTTCATTCAGTTAACAATGTGGCATGAGAAAATTTTAATAAGGAACACGCCACACAGTCTTCAGATGACCCGTGCCCCGTCTTCCCTGAGATTCTGGATCCACCCCTGATGTCCATTGTTCTTGAAGCGCATGATCAGGGGCGTAGTTAGGGGGGGGGGGGGAGGGTGCACGGCCCGCATACGCGTAGGATGGCAGGTGCATTGGTGCGTGTCATTCATGGTCAATATGTGCATGCTGAACCCAGGTCAAACAGTTTTTGCACCCCCCCCCCCCCCCCCCCGGTGCCCCATGTGGGTTACGCGCCTGACGGTGCACGCCTTCCGTAAGTCTACACTGACCTGAATGAACTGGGGTCTGTCGTGTCGTGCTGTCCACCATCAGGAATGATCTCTCCTCGGCCTCCGGGAACAGGATATTGAAATTGGTGAGCAAATTATGGTGAAGCTGTGCACATGACGCACACACAAACAACAGTGTGCACACGTTTTAAGACATCTGAGCGATTCCTCACAGCAAGCTATCGTGCAAGAGGTCAGGGGAAGGAGTGGAAGTTCGATGTGCAGATAAAATTGTCAGTCAGTACACGAAGCACAGAAGCCATAATAGTTTTGACTTGAAAAGTAATGGTAAGAAATGCCTAGTTGAAACTATAAAATGGCTTCTGTGCTTCGTGTGCTGATTTGCTTTCCTCCAACTAAGAATCTATTCAATACTGTCTGTGAAAAGACAGACTCAGCGCAGAGTAGTCAGTGAAACTGCAGCCGACGTCTCTCATGTGTTGAAAGTATGACAGGTCAAATCGTGATTACACGTACATACAGCATTGCTCAATGAAATCCTATCGCATGGAACAAGTTTGCAGCCTGCAGCATTTCGCAGCCTAGTGTCAACTGGTCTCACAGGCCAAGGGCTGTGCAACGCCTGGGGTGTACTTAACTCACTGCATCGCGGAATTAATTGAGCAGCACTGCACTTCATCTTTGAGTGTCTAGCAGTATGGCTAGATGAGAAGACAGAACTGCCTGTACCCGGTGAAGAGTAAAATTGAAGCAAACAAACAAATGTGTACACGTACCACGATGGAGCTCAGCTTTTGCAAGGAGTTGTGCTTGCGGTGCGAGCACTGCGAGTGCGTTGGGGACGAAGCCGCCTCGCTCGTCTTGATGCCCATGGACGTCTTGGGCCCGGCACTGCGACTGCGACTTAGCCGGCAGCACTGGTGTGGCGAAACGTCGTGTGTTGCCACGACACATCGGAGGTGATTGTGCGACAGGTCCAGGCCCTTCAGGCTGGGGGGAAAGGCGCGGGGAAAGCCGACGTCCTTGATCTGATTGTGCGAGGCGTTCAGCTTGGTAAGCTCCGGCGCCAGGCACGGCAGCTCCGACGGTAAGGCCATCAGCTGGTTGTGCTGCACTTCGAGCAGTCGTATGGATTGCATGCGCGATACGCTGCCTGCTACACCATGATCGTTGTCCTCATCGTCTCCATCTTCGTCGCTACTCTCCAGCAGCTTGGCAGTGAAGGAGCCGATTGTCCGACGCATGCGGTGATCGGCCGACAGAGAGAAGCGCTGTTGTGTCGGTGGCTGCTCCGGCTCCGAGGAGCTACTCTGGCCGCTGGCAGAGGATGGGTTGTCGGAGCCGCGCTGCTGCTGATCCATGCTGCCAAAGCCGCTGCTGGACGCCGAGAAGTGATTCGTGAGCGGCTTCTGCACCGAGCTGTACACGTTGATCACGGGAGCTTTCGGCGCCTGAGCATCATCGCCATCTCCACTCTCCGCCACCGGTGACATGCTGCGGTTGAGGGACTGCCCGGATGTGGTGCCCGTGTAACCACCGCTGTCGCTGTCGCTGGCGTGCGAGCGGCCGAACAGGCGACGGCACTTGGAGCGCGACTCCACCGGCAACGCCACGAGCTGATTGGTCCCGGCGTAGAGTTGCCGTAGCGACGGTGCATACCACATCTCCGGCGGCAGACTGACCAGCAGGTTGTGGCTGACGTCCAGGATCTCAAGCGAGCGGAGCGCAAACAGGTAGGCCGGCACCTCCGCCAGTTGATTGCCTTTCAGGCTCACCTTGAAGAGCTTGGACGCGTCCACCGTCGGCGACTCCCGCGGCAGCGACGACAGCTTGTTGTTGGAGCAGTCCAGGGTGCGCAGCAGTGGCATTTCAAACAACTGGCTGGGAATCGACTGTGGGAATAACGGGTTATGACACAGACAACACGACGGCATAAACATTTTAAAAGCGCCACAATAGCCAAATTGTGAAATAGCACATTCTGGTTAAACACAAACAGTGCAACAGTAGAGATCAACCAATCCATCCACCCTACAGTGCATTTCAAAACTATAGACGCGTAGGGTTTTTGTAGTATTTCAAATTTGGCTCGAACCTTTTGAGAATAGTTTTCGGAATATTGCTCAGGATCGCTCCACAATTACTCTCATATAATTTCTAAAGGATTGGATAACAGACGCCCAATTTGGAAAAAATATGCACAAAGTGATCACAGATTTTATGTGGTATAGATGCTGGCATAACGGTTTTTGCCTAGGTACGCGTCTATAGTTTTGAAATGGACTGTAGTACCAAGTCATCATATACTGGCCTTCGCTTGAAACAGGTCATCTGACATCATGTGCGGACTCCAACTTTCACATTCAAATTTCCCACCATGGCCCGAATTCTCTGACAACCTTTGAACAAAACAGCACACTACTACTGTCTTTTCTATGTACTGCTTTGCGGATGGTGTGTATGTGTTTTTGCTTTGTATTTGGGTTTTTTCCAGAAACCACGAACAGAGAACAGAATACTGCATGATAGAGGTGGTTGCAGACAGTTGCTGTGGCTCCGTGTCCAGGTCTGCTGGAAAGCGCAGTCGTGGAGTGCTGCTAGATGGCATAATCTGCGCAAGGCCGAATACCGCTGCGTACCCATGTTCACTACTAATACCATCGTTAATATCGCGTGGAACGGATCTGTTTCCAGGAGAAAACTGCCGTCTTCCGTGATGTTTGTTCCAGGCTAACGAAAATAACTTACCGCCAGTTTGTTTCCCGATAGTTCAAGCGTAGAAACGTAGTGGAATGCTGGCCGTGTAAACAGCTGCTTGGCATAGTCGGATAGGGGCTTGGCGAAACCATCGGCGACCCGTTGCAGCCAGTCAACATGCAGGTCCTCTACGTTCTGCTCTGCCCAACACAGCGCCAGTGGCAAGCCGGTCAGCTGCTGGTGCGACAGCTTCGAGCCACCGGCTTTGTTGTTCAGGTCGCTGAGTCGATGCACTTCAGACGTATCCTCCTCAAGACGTTGCTGTGGGCAAGGATCAAAGAACAGGCCCGCCGGAAGCACTTCATGAGTGGTCAGGCCGATAATGTTGAGGATGCTAGCTATGCAGTCCGTCCCCTCACCCATCCCCCCCCCCCCCCCCCTACCTCATCCCTACCACAGAATGCATGTATTGAAAACGAATTGCACATAGCAATACGCAGAATGAGATAAACAGGGAAAAAGGAAAGAACAATGTTGCAGTCCCATCACCACTGCTTGTTCCCTTGTATTTTCTGCCCTAGTTTTTTGTGCATGCTTTGCCAGTGCAGACACTAAGACCGCCAAGACCGCCAAGGTTGGCTGAGCAGCAGGGCTCCGCAACCACTTCCGGCACATGGTTGGGAGCATAGTCAAGCACAGCATGTCACAACTCTATGCTGATGACATTGCCTTCTTCATCATCGGACTGGACCTTCCTGCTATGTTACAGGATCTCCAGGACGATCTAACTGCCCTGGAGGTCCATTTAGATCTGAAGGGGCTCATCATGAACCCCGACAAGACGCAGTTTCTAATCCTGCAGCGGTCACGCCTGCCAGCAGCGCAGTTGCCACAGCCCTTGACCTGTAAAGGAAAGGCTATTACCCCTACGAGCACTGCCAAATACCTTGGTTTATAGATAGACGAGCATCTCACCTTCCAGCCACAGGTCCATAAATTGTGTAACTCGGTTTTTGCTAAAGTTGCTGCTTTCCGACATGGCCGTAGAAATTTAACAAACGATGCAAAGCGAACATTCTACTTGTCTATTATTCAGTCTACCCTAGACTATGCCAGTAATGCTTACCTACATTGTTTAAGCGCAACTCTGTACAATAGGATTGTGACCGTTAGTCACATAGCAATGAAGAGAGTGTTTGGACTCGATCGTACCACGCCCACTGAACTAGTTCTTCGCTTATATCACCTCTATTCTTTGGAACAGCGTATTAGCCTCAAGCTCTATGTTTTTGTGTACCACTGCTTGGCCCAGCATCTTGCTAGTCCTCTTCTTCAGTCTTTGTACCAGCTTCGGGCAACTGCACCTGGTCACCAGGCATGCACCCGGGGCAAGGCACAAAGAGCCTTAGTTCTCCCACTCGTTTATACGCAGTATGGCATGCGCTCTATTTCTTTTCTGGCGGCAGGCAGGTGGAACTCTCTTCCAGCTGACTGTCGACAGGCCCACACTCTTGCTCTGTTCATTAATATGGTTAAACTTCACCTAGGGTTCCCAGTAAAAAGGCAGTAGCCTGTTGGGACTCCCCAGTAAAATAATAAAATACTACCACTACTACTATAGTGGCCTTAGTAAAACCTTTAGAAAAAATGTTCTCTCCAGCGGACCGGCAGGCTGAATGCTGCATATCCATCTTCATAATACAGATGAAGGAACCCCGTATCAATAGTGTGCACTTAGCATCTGTGGACAGGGGGAAGATGATGAACAAGTAGACAATGAAGAGGCCACGGTCATTAGTTAAAAAGAAAGAGGTCGAGTCTACCATGAATCTATCGTTATCTTCTTTCTCCCGTTCGTCATCCTCACTAAGTAGGGTTTGCAACGGGTACAGTTGGAAGGCCACGTACACCTCCCTTGCTCAACGCTTTCTTCTAAACTCTGTTCCTAGATTTTCACGGCTTTCACAGCAAACAGGTCTGTCTCATACATTCATGCGCATGAGATGACAGAATTGCACAAAGGCACTCACCCCTAGCAAAACATCAACCAAGTCTGCCCGATTGCTTCTGATAGCGTCAGCCAGAGCTCTCCCACCATCATCGACCGCCTTGCAGCTCAGCAACAGGTTGACCATTGCCGCATCACCATTCCGGGTAGCGATCTGAAGTGGCGTCACTGCATTGGCATCGCTACCAACAGCTGCATTCACCTAACACGATAGTCATTCAACGCAAAGACATACATTTGATTGGATTTGAACCATTTCATAGCTTAAGGCCAACGCCAATTGCACTGTGCCCACAGTCACAGGGAAGTATGGTCTAGAACCAAAATTTCACTACTCGTAGTCTTCAGGGTGCTGAGTCGAATAGTCTTGGTGCAAGGAAGCTGAGACGCTCCCTTCCTCCTTTATTCCGAATCAAACTCACGCCCTTCCACGGGAACTGGGTGACTGCGCTCTACTAGATGCGGGGGATTTGTAGGCAAGATGTCACTGTAGTTCGCAGTAGCATCATGCATTATGTGGCCAGCGCTTTTTATCTCTTTCTTTTTTTTAATACAAATGACACAATCCCTACCATCAGACAGAGAAAGAAAAAAACACGGAGAAAGATAAGAAAGGATAGTGACGAACGGCTATCTGTAGGGGGTTGCTGAGCTAGCAGCAGTGCAGGTGGGGCACTATAGAGCAACAGGAGGCGTGTAAAGCGCTTGGGTTGCAATGAAGCCGAGACTCTATGGTCGGTCAAGCCCCCTGCCTCTCCCCCACTCCTGTCATTCTATATGTCTCATTGCTGCCTTGCTGCTTTGTGCTGTCAAATGGTGTGTGTTTTTTTTGTAAAAATAAAATGAAAAAGAAAAGAAGAAAAAAAGCCTTCTCGTCTACACCGGCTTTCTCACCTTCGCTCCCTGGTCACACAGCCACTGGACCAGGTGCTGACAACCGCTGGCACAGGCATCGTGTATCGGCTGGAAGCCACCCTGACGTCGCGTGTGCAACTGCTGCTGCAGAACCTCGGAGCCACACGCGTTACTGATAATGTCCGCGACCGCATCATCATCATCATCCTCATGCTTCTTGTGCCCGTAGATGATGATGGCGAGGCGTAGATTGCGTGTCTGCACCGCAATGTGAAACGGGATTCGTCCTTCGAAGTCACTGCAAGCAAAGGCAACGGGAATGGGAAAGTTTAAGCTTACTGATCAGTTGTCTTGACAACATTCCACTGGCAGTGTATGGTATTGATTGGATTGGATTGGATTATTTAATGTCGAAGAACAAACAGGCAGTGTTGCCTTATTACCGTATTTCCCCGAATATAAGTCGCACCTTTTTACACAAAAAATCAAGGGTAAAAGGGGGGTGCGCCTTACAATCGAGCATGACTTACTACTGAAGTTAATATATCAAATCAATATTGCTCAAACCTGAAAATGGGGGTGCGACTTTTAATCGAGTGCGACTTATAATTGGGGAAATACGGTACATGAGATCGACTTCAGGCACGCAAATATAAGGAAAAAGGAAAAGATTAAAAGAAAAAAGAAAAAAAGAGTATGGTATTCCCAGTATAACAGAAAAGGCATGTGCAACATACACAGCTAGAAAAATTCCATTCCGGTGTAAATATGGTTATCACTCAGCTCTTCTTCAACTGTTCGACCTGCCATTGACAAACAAAACGCTTCGTAAAGTCGACGTGTGTGTGCGTGTGTGGGGGGGGGGGGGGGGGGAGGGGACACATACATTCTCGTTGAGGAAGCAATATTCGCCCTGAATTGTCGGTAAAAGTAATCCTTGTCGAACACCAAGTGGCCGCCCAAACCAATCACAGTCACACACATGCTGTACCAGGGATGTTGTCACAGACATGCTGTACCAGGGGTGTTGTCACACACATGCTGTACCAGGGATGTTGTCACACACATGCTGTACCAGGGATGTTGTCACACACATGCTGTACCAGGGGTGTTGTCACACACATGCTGCACCAGGGGTGTTGTCACACACATGCTGTACCAGGGGTGTTGTCACACACAT